CAGTCCCATCATCAGGTGTGCCCCACACATCCCTGTCCTAAAGGGCAGCACCCAACTGCTGCACCCCAGCTGTGCCCCTTCTCCTGCTGCAGAGGACACCAGGCCTACCTTTTCAAACAAACATCTCCACAGAGCCAAGCCCAGCAGTCATGGTGGGGGAGAAGCACTCGGAGCCTCGGCGGTGTGGGGAGGGAGCAGCGCGTGTAAACGAGCCTGTAACGAGTTTGTAATATGCATGTGTGGCGCGGCCTGCGCAGCGTCATCACAATGGCACAGGCACTTTCCCGCCTCATTGCCTCCCAAATGGATTTTAAATATCATTCCGAGGACACAATTATTTAAAACGCTGAACTAAACACTCACTAATGGGAAAACGGCGTGTGGCCTGCAGCAGCCATTCCTCATGGGGCCACTCTGCCCATGTCACCCTCTTCTCCAGCCCCACAGCCTGCATGGGGCCAAAGGAAAGTGTTCTCCTTGTCGGAGGCCAAGCAGCACACCACTGGTACCAATCATGGGACCAGCTCAACACAGATTGCTTACTTGAGAACACACCCTTTGACCCCATCCCACTGTCTCTGACCCCAGAGCAGCACTCAGCCTGGCCTGAGGGGCACCGCTAGTCAGCCCCCGGGGCTCTCCTGGCTGCAGCTCCACGTCAGGGAGCACCTCACCCCACTGCAGGTCTTTCAGTTTGCCCCAGTTCAGCAGCAGGTAATACAGGGCTGCACAGAGAGGACATGAGAACAGGGATGCCTCCTGACCCAAGTTATATGGCCCTGGAAGCCACAGTTACAACATAAGATTTACTTTCTCACTTAATTAACTTCTTCGTTCACGAAGCCTAGCCATGATAATTAACTTCTGAATACCTCCCTCACCCCCAGCACATTCCCAAGCAGGGGAGATGAAGGAAGCAGTATTATTGTTGGCTACATCCTAGACTCCAGAACAAATGGAGCACAAAAAGAGAAAAAACAAAGAAACAAACTATTTGCAGCAATCCTTGCTGGGGAGAACATAGATGGAGACACAACTCCAAGGATGCCATGGACCCTCAATCCCATTACAGTACAGGCAGCACTAGGGACGACAACCTCACGCAGCAGTGTGTGTACTCACAGGGGAGTGCCTGCCTGACCTTTGATCATCACTCATCTCCCTTCCTCCAGGCAGGGAGCCCAGGCCACCACGAGCTACCATTACTCAGGGACAACACCCTACCTCCGATTAAACAGAGAAGGGAAGGGCCACAGACCAGCACTGTCCCCACACACCAGCAGTTAAGCACAGAGAGGATGAGAGTCCCTTGCTGGAACTCTGGCTGTACATCAGGAGTTCATATTTTAACAGCTTTGGCATCACTAGAGCTATCCATCACTGGCTCATTTTCCTCTGAGTGCTGAACTGTTCTAGCCTCTGCTATTTGGAACAGTGTCTAATGATGCACCGGAGCAGCCACCTGGCAGCATGGTTGCCAAGGGACACAACATGGGGAAAGGAATACACACAGGTCTGCATGCTGCTGCCAGCCTCCACTGTCCAAGAAGCTCCCTCCCCTCAAACCTGCTCCACTCATAACAGACCAGAGGGATGCTCTGCCTCATGGTCCTCCACCACGTGAGGGGAAGAGCACATGCTCTTAAGCCATTGCTCTCTTACAGAACGGAAAACAGAACATAGGCATTGATGATATTTTTATGAACAGTCATTCAGTTTGTCACACTCTAGTACTCTTTTTGAGAGGTTGAAGAGCGGACCAAGGCAAAAAAAAAAAAAGCTTCTTCTAACCCATAGACATGCATAGCTCATTAAAAACACAGACAGGGGGCCAGGAACATGCAACATGACAGCACTGCAGTGTTACAGCACTAAAAAAGCCTCCCTGGGAGACTTGTGAGGACACAGGCAGATCTGGACAGAGACTCACATGGAGTAAGGCAGCCACAGGATACTTTGGAAAAGAGCCTGCACAGGCTTCGAGTTAAGCTTTTAAGTTTGCTTTTATTACAACTTGAGTGCTTCTGGGTCATTCTCACAGCAACCAGTATCCTGTGAATCCGTGCTGGATGGCAGAGTCTACCCCCTCCTCCCAAAACAACTTCATCCAGATCTCGCTGGATCCACTAGGACAAGGGCATGGAGCCACAACTCCAGTCTGGAAACAGCTGAGCTGAGGAGCAGTTCTCACCAAAGCTAATCTGTGCCAGCACAGAGTGATCCCTCAGGAAGACCATGAATGACATCCTGTGCAGGCATTCCAGAGCAGCTCCATGGGAATATACTGTGGGGAGACAAGCAGCAGGATCCCTGCATACCTAGAGATGAACTCACCTCCACATGGAAAATGTGAAAGGGACAGTCTGGGCAGGTTGAGTGCAGAACTCACCCATTCCAAGAGCAACCTCCTCCTTCTGCCTCTCAGTCTTGGTTCATCTGCACTACCTGTCCCCATCTGCAAGGAAATGCAGGGATCTAGTAAGAGGAATGTGAGGCCATTCACCAACTCCATTCTTCAAGCCTTCGGTGACAGGATAGGGGGCAGGTATGACATGAAGTAGGATGCACAAATTTAAGTATTGGAGAATCAAGCACTGGAACCATTAAAGCCTTACTCCTCGGGGGCTCGCTCAGTGCTAATGCTCCACCAGACACCTCCAGGGAACAGCTGCTCATCTCGCCATAAATCGGCACCTTTCCTGGCTGGTTGTGTGGGTATCTGCCAAGAGAGCCAGGGTACCAGGGAGGGAAGTTGCACAGTCCATAGGCAGCCTGCTCCAAGCAGAGCAGCACAGGGATCCTTCCCATGCTGCAGGAATGGATCTGAGATCAGGTAGTCAGACAGACCCATCTCCAGGTCAGGAGCGGAACTGCAGCTCCAGGCTGCTCCTCAGCATTCCTCGTCTCACAGAGAGCACAGCTGCACATCCCACTGCTGGGGAAACGGGAGAGCGGCTGGAAAGGAGAGCAAGCACAGATACATGGCCTAGGGAGCAATAGACTGGGCAAGGAGATGGGCTGCTCACCTGTTAGATGCAAGTGGAGCTTGCACAGCGTCCCACTCTCAGGCTGAGCTGTGTCAGACCTGTCTCCGATCGCTGCATCCAGCTGAGCGACCCCAAAAACCCGGCCCAGGGGCGGCCCCGATGCAGCAGCTCTGCCACCAGCACCAGTCACACAGCCTGTCCCTACAGCACAGCCACCACAAGGCTCACAGGAAGGAGAAGAAGTACAGTCTTGTTGGGCAAAGTGCTGCTCCACTCCTGTGCTCAGATCCAGTTTACAGGCCTGGCAGGGTGAAGGGAGCACTCTTCAATGCTGTCCTACAGCCAAAAGGAAACAGAGCACCCAGTGCAGCCCCTTCCCTCCCTCCCCCAGCCAGCCACAGTCCACAGCAGCAGGGCTAGGTCTGACAGGATGATGCTCAGCCCCAACCCTGCTGCCTCCTATGCTCTCCTGAGGAGCATCATGGACATCTTGTCTGGCCCACACTGCCAAGCCAGGCAGATCAGTACCCATCACAGCTCCATAGCTCATGAGACTCAGCATCACCTCACAAGTTTGTGAAATCCAGGATTGCCCCACATACTGTCACCTTGGACTAAACACAGCTCTGGTTCCTCCTGGTTCCTCCTACCCTGTTGTTGGCTGTGAACAGATGTTAGAGCCAGACATCCAGTCCAATGTGAAGCTGGGAAGAGGCACTGGAACAGGCTGCCCAGAGAAGTTACAGATGCCCCAAGTGTTCAAGACCGGGTTGGACAGGCACAGTGGAAGGTGACCCAGCCCAAGGCATGGGGGTGGAACTGGGTGGACTTTAGGGTCTCTTCCAACCCAGACTACTCTATGATCTCCACCACAACTCCACCCAGAATATGCCCCACGCCTTTCCTTTCCACTGCAGACACTGAGGCAGCACCTCTGTGCAGGAACCCAGGACAGCCCTGCACACCCCAAGAAGGTGCTGTGCTCACGGGGCAGCCAGGCTGCCCCACCACAGCTCTGGAGGTCATCGCCTGCACCATCACTCTGGACACAACACTTCACCCTGAGGGCTTCCCAAGCTCCATGTGGACAGAGAACCTGTTCATGCTGCCTGCAGGGCCCTGGATCATTCCCATAGGAAGCATTAGGAATACAAGAAAAGGCGGCCAGGGCCAGTTATTAACACGATAATACAAGACAGAACACAGGACACTCAGCCCTAGCCCAGTTTAGAGCCCTGCAAGACAAAGTTCTCTTCAAAGCAAGTGGAGGCAAAGGCTACAAGTCCTAGAAAGAAGATACTGTTTGTTTCTCCTGTCAGTCCAGCTCATTTGGCTTTGTTTGTCTCCCCTACCTAAAAGGGAGAAAGCCTTCACCAGGAGGAAAAAACCCAAACAACAGAAAACCAAACAACAACAAACAAAACCAAAATAAAAACCCAAGGAAAAACCCATCAGAAAAAAACCCTTTACCTTTGAAAACAGTTTATAAACATGAGAAACCCCCTTACCACTGCTAACTACACTCCACTTACCCAGAGGGATTCAGCTTCTGCTCTGACCAGTACCAACTGACAACCCGGGCAAAGACACCCACCAAGTAAGGAAGCACTTGAAGAACCACAGGAAAGTCAAAGACAACAGAAGCTTTTAGCAGTCAGGAATCTGAAAACCGGGATAAAGAGTTTGGAGAACTGTGGAGAACTCACTCTGCTTCCCAGAACAGCCCTAGCTCTCCTCAGGCATGCCCTGTGGTCCCTGCTCCTACTTGTGTGTGGTTGTTTTCAAACAGCAGCTGTTCTTCCAGCCCTACCAAACAACCCCCACCACCACAGTTCAAACTGCCCCACACCTTGCAACACCAGAATTAAAGACACAACGTGTATTTCTATGCTTTTTTTATTTGCAGGCAGCCAACAGGAGGCTTTGCTTTCTCATTTGAGTAAGACTGAATACCAGCTCCTGCAAGACTCCACAGGAAGCGGGGCCCGGGCTGGTTTCACTGGGGCCGGGTGGTCACTTGCTGCTGGTGTATTTGGTGACGGCCTTGGTGCCCTCGGAGATGGCGTGCTTGGCCAGCTCGCCGGGCAGCAGGAGCCGGGCCGCCGTCTGCACCTCGCGGCTGGTGATGGTGGAGCGGTGGCTGTACTGGGCCAGATGCGAGGCCTCCGAGGCCAAGCGCTCGAACATGTCGTTGATAAAGGAGTTCATGATGCTCATGGCCTTGGAGGAGATGGTGAGGTCTGGGTGCACCTGCCGGGTGGTAACCGAACACCGTCTCACACACCCGTCACCCTGGGGGGAACAGGGACCCAGCCGCCCCAGAAAAGCAGGGCCCCGCTTCCCATCCCAGACAGGGCACTCTAACACCAAAGGGAACCACAGCTGCCACCCTGAGAGTCTCAAGTCATGGGCCACTTGCATTAGACTGAAGAGAGGCTCCCAGAATGCCACAGCAGCTTTGGGATTGCACGATGGGAGCCCCCCCACAATCCCTGTGGAAAACAAGACTCAGAGGGATGAAAACACCCCAGTTTCCAGAACCTGCTACAGGTTCATGCTGATGACTGTAGCCTAGACAGTGCATTACCAATTCCAAAATTTCTTTTTCTCATCTCACCAGAGATTTTAGCACCTACTCACAAGCCCAGCAGGAGCTGTTCCTGCCCTCTTTACTTCTATTCAATTACTTCTTCAAGCAGAGCCATACAGCAGCACTTGCTCTCTCTAGGAAACCCTTTCTGCTCTAGATCCATCTGTTGTCTCCCACCCCCAGAATCTGTTCCCCCCAGCTTCTGAGCCTCAACTGGGGCTCTCCTGTACCCAGTCACCTTTTTTTTCATCTCACTAAAAAGCAGATTTCTTTCCTTCCTTCCTCTTGTAGTGTTAACATGCAATGAGTAGAAGTAACTTCACGGATAAAGCAGTTTCTAGCAGAAAAGAAATATTTACTCACCTGCTTCAGTACTTTGTAAATATAGACTGAAAAGGTTTCCTTTCTCTTAGGTGTCCTCTTAGATACTCTGTCCCCAGAGATGGAAACATGATCACGCTTCTTCCTAGGTTCTGAGCTCATCTCAGCCTCCAACAGAGCAACCAGCAGGTGCCATGGGGCTGGCTATATAGCACAGGCCGCAGCCCCTAACCTGCCTCAGGTGCAGCCCCCCCCAGGGAGCAGGAGCAGTACACACCTGTGGCTGATGATTTCTCTGGGCACTAAAGGAAGGGTGGCTGGCCTGAGAGGAGCTTGGAAGTGACAGATTCAATTAAACTTTCAGACCTGAGAAAAAGTTTGAGGGTAACCTGGGCAAAGAGGGAGGCAAGAGCAGTAGCATCAGATTCACAGGGGAAAAATTGCCAGAGAAGAGCTATTCCCAGGTCCACCAGGGGTTTGGTGAAAGAAGAGATCCTCCTTTGGTGCAAGGGTGTGAACTAGAGTATTCAAGGTACTCCAGAGTCAAATGGGTGGAATCACATCTGTGCTATGGAACAAGTACCGCCCTCAGCGGGAACTCGGTAATGGGAGGGAATGTCACTGCGTTGTAAACTCCCCACCAGCCAGATTCTCCTGCTATCTCAGCTACCCGCTCTTGGGACTCCACCTGCTGCACCGAACAGGGCCTGGAAAGCCAGGAGGGAGGCAGGGGAGGGCTGACACCCCACGTATGGATTTGATCTGTCTTGTAAACCAGTGATCACACCAGCAAGAGTACATATGACACAGGAATTAGGCTAAGCCAGGAAGACGTGCAGCAACAGAGTAGAGAAGTGAACAAAACAGAGTTTTCTGTCCTTTGGAGGGAAATGGAAACGTTTCAGCAGGCATCACAACAGCAATAGAAGGACCGTGCCAGTATGCTCGTCTAGGAGGGGGACACGCCGGGGTCTCTGTGCTGCCGTGCGCAGTCTCCTGCTTAGGGGCACATGCCATACTGGCACATTTGAGCAAATCACCTCTTCCAAGGAGTGAGCCTGGGAGACCCAGTCATCAACCAGTGACTCTGCTTCTGCTTGTGCAGCCCACAGTGTTTCACTGAACTGTTGTACTCTGGCCTGTCCTCATGGGGAGGCACCTGATCACCCTCTGTGAGTGCAAATAACCGTCACTGTGACAGGGTGGGGCAGGTTGTTCAGTGTTACAGAAGGGCCTCTTGCTCCCAGGAACTGAAACATTAATGATCAGGCAGGACAGGCTGGAACGGTCATGGCAGCTCTTTGTGAAGAAGAATGGGCTTGAAGATACAGGGCAGTGGAATACTCTGGGAATGGGAGGGACTCATACTGGACTAAGGAGCAGGTGACATCACCACTTGTGCTTTGTAAGAGGCTGTGTGTTGACAAGGAACAACACAGGGTCCCCACTCTGAGGGACATTCCACTACCCCCCGATTCACAGAGCTGTGAACAGGTGAGACCTTTGTGTTGGGGAAGACTTGTCACTGCAAGGGGAGCTGTGTGACCCTGGTCTCAGGTCATAGTACACGGGCTCTCTTGTGATGAAGGAGCTGGGAGCTGTTGTATCCCTACCCAGCTGCTGCCATGTCTGGCACTGGCAGTGATAGGCACACAGCTGGTTTTTCTGACAAAATGTTTAGTTAGAAGGAAGCCCTTTGGTGGAGGAGCAGCAACTGATCACTTGGCATTAGGCACAGGGAGACTTTACACAGCAAGGGTGGAGGCTCATCCACTGAGCAGTAGAGTCAGATTTGAACTCCCACGGTTGGGGAATCACCATCTGCTTCCCTGGACTGCATGCGCTAGAGGCTGTCCGTGCTGCTGTGTGCTGGGCTTGGCTCCTCCTCGGGCTGTTTTTGGGGGTGTATGGATCTACTTGCAGCACATAGACAAAGGAATCCCGTAACCCTGCACCTGTCACTTCTGGCTGTGGCTGTGTTAGAGCCAACCTCAGTTTTAGATCACAGGCTCTAGGCCACTTCTTTCAAAGACCATCCTAGCAACTAAGGAGCAATTCTTTTAATTTATCTATAATTTTGCTTTTGTAAAAGACTAGAAAAGTCCCAGCTGAAACAGCTCTAAGTACCACTGCCCCAGCTTGTGGCTGCCTCAGATCAATGCTCCACGACATCTGTTGGGAGCTGCTTCAGTGCAGTCCAACGACGTGTCACCACAGAACAAATGAAGGTTAAATCAAGGCTCATAAAGCATGTGTATAGATTCCATTTTACAAGTCTTGGCTTACTGAGACCTCTAGTGCAGCTACAGCAGCTTTTGCTTTGAACATGTACCTGTGGTCCTTGTTTATAAATCAGAGACATCTCTGGACCCAAGAAGTTCCCCTCTCTTGGCAGCAGCAGACAGGTAACACAGCTCTCCTCTTGAATGCTCGACTACTGCCTGTCATGCTGGCTGTCATCCCAGTGTCCCCAGGCCCTCCTCAGGATTTAACATTCCCAAAGAACTCAGTGTAAGATTGTATCCTGCATTTATTATTGCCACTCAGATCTGAAATGCAGTGATTTGTTGCCAAGTCTTTGGTAGGAGTAAGGAAGAGCAGGATGAACAGCTGTAGCCTCAGACAGGACTCCCTGACCTCACCATTTTCAGAGCTACTTTGCAATCCTTTCAACTCACCAACACTTCCTACAACCCAGAGAGCAGAACAAACAGACAAGCATTAATCTATTCTTGTTTAACTCTTGTGACCCATTAGCTTTTTGAGCAATCGCTTCCCTATGGGTTGCTTTTACTCCCCCACTCCACCTCACAACTTTGGAGTACTCCGCTGTGAGATATTCATCCAAGTGACTTTTCACTGCTATCTACACTTTTCTGCAGAACTAAGTTGGAAGCATTTATACTATATAATAATATATAGTATACAATAATTTATCTGCATTATTTTATCAGAAACTACTTTTTTTGTTCTCCTCTCAGATCGTTGCTAAAAACAGTGAAAAACCTGAAGGTTCTGCTTTATCTACTGGAAGCAGCTTCTGTTGTGACATTTGTCCTATGACTGACACACAGTGCTTCCACAGCAGCAGTCACAACTTCGATAGGCCCTTTAGGAAAGAAAACCAAGGAAATGCTCTACCCAAAAAGTCAAAGTCAGTCAGCTGGCACTGGAGGAAGCACTGCAAGGGAGCACAGCTCCTACGTTTGTCCTGTCCTTCCTCTCCCCTGGCAGCATGTGGTCCTGGAGAGCCTGCTGGGCTACATGAACCCTTCACATGACCAGTGCAGCCATTCTCATGTGTCATGATAACTCATGATCAAAAGAATCTATTTGGTTTGATTTGCTACCTTTCCCTTTAGTACTTTTTAGTTGTTTAATAATAAATTAAAAATTTGTTTTATTCAAGCTTCTGTGGCACAGGGTGAGGTTTAAACACCAACTTTTTCAAAAATCTGTTATTGCAAACAAAATAAGTTTAGTTGGTTAGTCTGCAAGAAACTTGCAAGGACAAAATAACTCATAGTCCAGAAATCCTACATTACTGAGTCTCATTATTAGACAATTCAGGGAGAAGGAAAAAGCCACACCTGACCCACTGTGTTGCAGAGGACACATGCTGGCGTTCCATAGATCTACTTTGTGTTTCTGACTTTGATATCCACAACCCTTTCAATTTGTGTCTGCCACCATCTACAACAGAAGCATCAGTGGCTTGTTCCCCCTTCTGTCACCTGCTGGAAACCCGGTGTTGGCTCTGGCTGAGCAGAGGTGTCCCAGGTGTGAGGGTCCTGCTCACTGCTTAGTGCCTGCAGAGCTCAGTACTCACCACTTCATGTAACCCTCAAGTTCTGCCACAGCTTTGGCTGTACTGAGGAACTGAACCTTCAGCAGGAAGGGTTGATCCTCACTCAAAGCTCAGCCACTGCAAGCCCCAACTACCACAGCTCACAAAACAAGACAAGATTGTTCTTCCCTCTTTATTGACTGATGGATTCTCAGGCAGATCTGTTAATTACACTGTTAAATAATAGTTAAAAACAAACCAAGGCCAGAGGAGTTTGAAGTGAAGTATCTAAACTGAAGCAGAAATTGGGAAGGAAGAGGCAGGAGAAGCTGGGCTGGGGTCTCCACCTGTGTTACACTGCAGCTCAGACACCCTGACGGCCGCTGCCGTGACCCTGGGCCATCAGATTCCAGGGCCTGGCTCGGATGGGACATCATCTTAATATGGAAACGGTTGCCCAAATGTAGCCAGACTGGGAGAGAAGAGCTCTGTCCAGACACAGAGGTGCAAGGCAAGTCGAGGGGAAGCAGTATTGCAGCAATCCTAGAACAAAGCCAGCGAGAGCAGCAGTCCCGCTCCTGCCGGCGGGCGGGTGACTCGTGGCCACCGCCGGCCCCACAGAGCACCGGGGCCAGGGGCTCCTCAGCTCATACGTTGTGGGTCCGTTTGGTGAGCTGCGGGTCCTCATCCACCAGCTTTGACTTGAGATGTTCCTTGTAGGCAAGGATGTCCCCTTGCCACTTGGTGATTGTCTGCTTCTCACAGACCCAGATCTCCTGCGCAACCTGAGAACAAGCACACGAGGAGGAGGAGGAGAGGTTTGCAGTACAGCATTTTATAATCTTATCAAAATGATAAAGTTAACTAAAAACTATTCTCTGAAGTCTGGCAAGAAAAGTTCAGTAACTCTCACATTTCAACTACCAAACAAAGCATCTACAGAGAAACATCTTCCTTGTTTTTTTCTGCATAATTTATACAAGATTTTATAACTGAAAATCCTGGACCCCTCTACATTTCTGATTTCGTTCATGCATTAAGAAGAAAAGCCTTTCTTGCTAAACTGGGAATTGAAACAAAAGTAGTTCTTGACCTGAACTACTTGGATATAACACACTGAAAAATAAAATTATACCTGAAGTTGCGGCCAAAGCTATAGCTGACAAATCAGTATTTGACATTTGTGTTAGGTTTTTTTCTATATTTCAAGTTCCTAATATTTTCCTGGGCTATCTCAATAATTGTTTAACATGAACACAGTAAAGGAATTGTGTGCAGTGATTTTTTTTCACTCACCCATCTTTTTGGGATATGTAAAAGCCAGTGAGTTGAAAACACCTTGTTTTAATTACTTCAAGTGTTAAAAAGGTGCTCTGACAAAATTCATGACTTTTGTTACCTGCTGGATGAGTCTGAAGTCATGGCTGACAAGCATCATTCCTCCTTCAAACTCATTGATAGCATCTGCCAGAGCATCTATGGTTTCTATGTCCAGGTGGTTGGTGGGCTCGTCCAGGAAGAGCATGTGGGGGTTCTGCCAGGCCAGCCAGGCGAAGCACACACGGCACTTCTGCCCATCCGAGAGGTTCCTGATGGGGCTCACCTGCCCAACACAGACACAGCTCGGGCTCTGCAGGCACCTCACAGCCTGCCACCCTGACCCAGAACACTTGGGTCTCACCCTGGGCTCCCAGCAGCTCCATGACACAAGAGGACAAATGTTCAGTCAGCCTTATACCTACACTGAGCTTCTCCCACCCATGGAACAAGGGAATTCCAGGGGCTTCTGAAGAATGAGTCTCCCCAGCAAGACCCAGCTTGTGCCAAAGATGTGCAAGGACAGTTGACTGGGGTCTGACTGGTGTTCAATGATATAACCAAAAAACTACTCTCAACTTCTGCAGTGATAAATGGCAAAAACAATGCAAAAATCAACACTAAACTGCAGTGACATTGACACCTCCTGTCACACACGTGACGTATGATGTACAGGAGCACGTCATGCTCGGACTTACTAGTACCACTGGTGAGCCTCTTGTCTGAACCAAGGGGACCTCCCACCCAGCTGAGATCTTCTAACACTTCTGGCTGGTATTCATCTCAGAAATGAGAGATAAGCGAACTAGTTCAAGTTACAATTAAAGTGTGCTCAGGTCTAGCACAAGTTAGTGTAGTGTAGTGTAGTGTTGTGTACACAACTTGTCTTTTTTTCACCCAGATTCTGAGGGGGTCACCCGTTCCAACCCAAGTCTTGCTGTGAGCCATTTTTTTCTCCCATTTCAAAGGATTGGATTTTGATGCTACGGTGAGCCATGCTGCATACTGTATCACACTGTCAGACATCAGTGGAGGAACAGAAAACACAGCAGCTCTACTCCCCTAATGAGCAAAAAGCAAACCTCAACAGCTCACACTTACCTGCTGCTTCCCTGTCAGACCATATCTGCCAATGATTTTCCTCATCTCCTCCTTCTCCTTGATCTCTGGGTAGCATTTCAGCATGTACTCCAGGGGTGAGAGGTCTAAGTCCAACTGCTCTTGCAAGTGCTGCCAGAGAAGAAAAGTCAGCTTCAGGCTGTGCAGGGCACCCACTTCATGGCCCAAAGCACATCCCCCCTTACACCTCACACCCCTCTGGTACCAGCTGAGCGGCAGAACACAAGAGCCAATAATCCTACCCACAGGATAGGCCCTGCGCTGAACTATTATGGGACAGCTTTAATTTCAGGAGCAGAGTGCTGTTTCAGAATAGCAGGTTTGTCCACCACCAAACACAAGGCAACCAGCTCTGCCATTAGCAGGTGGGAGGCTGAACGGG